TTTACGGTGTGGGGTTCAGAGTGCGCAAGACTTCTATACATTGTGGCGGGTTTGCGCTGGTGTTCCAGGGCTTCTATTGAGGATTACGGGCACGGCTTTCTTTGTCGGGTTCAGGGTGTAGGGTTTTAGGCTTTGGGGGGTTGTATATGTTTGCTTTATACGGTTTAGGGTGTCAGGGTTTAGGATCAGGGATTGGTGGTTGGTCAACAGTTCAGAGTCCAGGGTTGGGTTTAGGTTTGGAAGCCTGAACCATGACCCACCCTACCCTACACCCGAAAGAAACACCCAAACCCCAATCCTACTATAGGGGCCTTAATAAGCACCTATACTCCTTGTTATCATTAGAGAAAAGGGCCCCATCTCATCTTAACCACCCAAAACTCAAAGCCTCCAAAAGCCGAAAACGATCGAAAAGCCCACGAAGACGGGTAATATGGGGGCATTAACAATTAGAATAGGGTTTTGGGGCCACTTATATTCTACTTATAATAAGGAACCCACCGAAACAGTATTGGTAATGATTTAGGCCCCTAAAGTAAGAGCTCGCACAATGTATGAACCGGCTGCTGAGTTTGGATCTGAGTTGTGAGATTTTCTGGGGCGTGGATGTAATTAAGGTGTTTGGGATTAGGTTGTACGTCCTTTCTAGGTTTTCGGTAAGAATGAAAATAGGCATATCTACTTACACAGTGCCCAGCACCGCTCCACCCGAACTAAATGGGTTTAGGGCTTGGGTTCAGAGTTCAGCACAAGGTACCTTACACCAAAACCAATACACCCACGAGAATCTTCAAAACATGCTCAAATCCCGGTTCAAGCATCGAAACCCAAACCCCACTCCCCGAAACCTTAGACACCCAAAGCCCTAAGGCCCATTTCCCATTTACCCATACCCGCTAGTATAGGGGTCAGAGTAATCTACCCCACAACCAAGTCTAATCATAGCAAACCCAAAGTAGTTTCCGACGGCTCCCGAAACTTTGAGTCCATGCAGCAGCCGAATCTGCACAGGCTGTCGAAGCCGCATGGGCACCGCGGCAAGCACGGGCAAGCACAATTTCGCTCTTGGTTCAGGTTTTATTTTGTGGAAGCTTATACCCCCTCGACCCTTGCTTAGGGTTTTGGAGTTTAGGGTTGAGGCTTGGGGCGGAAAGCTCGCCTTGCCGTCTGGTGAGGAGTTTGGGTGTCTGCGAGCAGGGGACATTCTGGGTAGATGCTGTTAATTGACTTCCACATAATGCTGACAAAAACACCTCTAGGTCCTAAACCCTAAACCCCTAAACCCTGAATGTTAAACCCTGAGCCCTATGAAGGACCCCCCCTATTGAGCCGAGCCAAGGTCAGCAGCTGTGTTTGCAGGCGGCTTGTGGATTTTGGACCCTAAACCCTAAACCGTAATTATGCACCACGACCTTGTCTAGGGTTGGGTGCTTTGCAAAGCACGATAAAGCGCGGCAACGAAGGCGGGAGGAGAAAGCTCCAAGCAGAACCCCTCAAGCCCATTACTTTGCACCCTGGACTTAAGAGCAAAGATTTCGTGCACCCGGGCAGACTTCCCTGCTTGGAGGTTCATGGGTAGTTATTTGTGGGTTGTAAGTCCCCGAGTCTGGGTTGTAAGTATAGTTACCTACTGATAACCCTGCTTATAACTACCCATGAACCCCCAAGTAAGGCCCTAACCCCTCTACCCTTGTAGAATCCCTTTAGAGCCCTTTAAAGGGACCCTTTAAAGGAACCCTCATAACTTCCCCTGAAAACCTCCAAGTAAGGGCCTGAAGACCTCTACCCTTGTCGAATCCCTTTCGAGCCCTTTAAAGGGAAACTTACAAGAAACGCTCATAACACCCGTATAGTTGCCCTACTTATAACCCTGCTTATAACGACCCTAAACCCTAAACCCTATAGCCTATAGCCCTATAGGTCCTCTCAGGGAAGCCTACTTATAACTACCCCTCAAAACCTCCAGGTAAGGCCCTACAGACCCAGATCCTCGCAGGCCCAGCTCCGCCTCGGTAGCTCCGCCAGGAGCTGCAAGGCCCAGGGCCAGGCCTCTTAAGGTTTAGGGTTTAGGGTTTAGGGTTTGGGGTTTGGGGTTTAGGGTTTAGGGTTTAGGGTTTAGGGTTTAGGGTTTGGGGTTTGGGGCTTAGGGCTTGGGGTTTAGGGTTTGGGGTTTAGGGTTGGCAGCAGGGCTTTGGCATTTTGTGTTAGCAAGAAAGGGGCCTTAATTAATTAGAATAGGGTTTTGGGGTATATTATACTATACTGACAATAAGGAACCCCAAAAACAGTACAGGTAATTATTAAGGCACCTATGGTAAGGCTTTTGTGGGGCTGCTCATGTTCTGACATATATGTTTTCAAGCATGCTTTAATGGTGAAGGCCCAAATCGCATGCGGGTAGAGCGGCACCCTGGGTTCCTCCGGAAGAAAAGGAGCCTAAGCCCCAATAACAAGCCCGGAAGCTGTTGTCGGGTGGAGGTTTGGACATTTTCAAGAGAGGCCTTTCTAATATTGGTTAATGTGAGTCTTGTGGGGGGTTAAGCAAAAACCCCAATGACCCCGAAACCCAATACCGTGAGATCCTATAAAGCCGCAACCCCTATGCACCCTAGGCCCCTTAAGACAGTCGTGGCCTGACCCTTGGCGCAGGTGTTGATGGCAGCCGAGTAGATGATCCTTAGAAGCCACGTGCCATCCAGGGCAGTGCAAGATGGGAGTTTCCGAAAATTACGGGTAATTACCTTATTTTGGGGTCTCTATATAATAAGGATCCTACTATTTAGGGTACTATATTCGGGTCTCCTTTGTTCGGAAAGTCCCATATGAATGCTGTGCGCTGGACCTTGCGGCTCCATGTTGCTAACTGAAGGCGGCGTCAGGGCTTAAGGTTAGGGCTATGGGCTTGGGGTTCAGAAACGTAAGTAAAAAATAATGGCCCAACACAATAAAAAGGCGATTCTTCTGCAAACTTTTGGGGAGGTAGGGCGCAGACGGCGACAGACCAAGCGGCGTATTCGCTTGAAGTGCATGCTGGGGAAGCTCCTGCCGGAACTGCGCAATCTGAAACTTATACCCGAGAGCCTGAAGCCGGACCATGTCAGGGTTTAATAGGGTTTAGGGTTTTAGGGTTTAGGGTTTAGGGCTCTTAGGAGGGTTTAGGGTTTAGGGCATCTCAAACCCTACTGGGCCCCAGAACGCGCCCTGATTAAACCTACAACCCTAAGGCAAGGCTCCTGCAGAAGTGCGATGGCTGGCTGCCAGGACGCCGAGCGCGTGAGCTGCTTGAGAGCCAAGGTTACTTCCTGCAGTGCGGCTGTAGGGGTTAGGGTTCAGGGCTTTAGGGTTCAGAGTTTAGGGCGCTTCAAGGGAGTAGGTCTACCTTAACCACAATCTACTTGCTGATAATAAGACTCTACAAAAACTCTGCCTGGGAATTGCTGCTAGGCAAAATTCTACCATCAAAAGTCAACTATGATAGTTTAGGGTAGGGATGAAGGCCCAGAGTCGAGTTCTTAGGCTTAATTTAATATAGTTGCCATCAGTCAAGGGTCCATGTACCTGTCTAGTACATGGGCCGTATACAGCTTCGCACGTGGGAACGTGGGAGCATTCGGCTCCCGAAACTCTAACTCATGAGGCTTTTCAGCGATGTTGGGCCTTGCGGTATTCGGGCTTAGGCTTAGGGCCTAGCCATGTGGCCTGACTCTGTTCTAAATCGTAAACCGCATCCCTACAAGGAAGGCGCCAATCGAAGGCCCCTCCCGAGAAATCTCAGCGATTAGTAAAGCCAACGACTGGCACCAGCCACGCCAGGGATCGTGCAATATCTTGATAAAAATTTGATTTGCTGTCAGGTTTCAGAGTTTCTATCAGATTTGGGAAACTTCGGGATTTGGGAATTTGGGGTATACTACTTGTCAGGCCATCTAAACCCTGAAAGTTGCAGGTTGAACCATGTCCTTCTCATGCCGAGGAAACTGGCCACCCAGGGGCTGAGCCATACGAAGTACAGCCGGAACCGAGATTCTTGCGCAGCTTCTCAGACGAAGGCAAGTTTGTAAGCATCTATGTTATGTGTGTCTGTGCTCGGCCTCAGGATCAAAATCATTCAGCATGCTTACTTGAAGGCACTCTACACTAGTCAGCTTGAGCCGGGATATGCCTGCAGCAGCACTCGCAAGCACAAGCACATTTGCGCCTCATGCGCATGATGCTACACAGGATGCAAGCGCGAAAAGCCACACCAGCTAGTCGACCCTGCTTACGACAAGAAACATATTGTCATGTACCCTACTGAACTGAACCTACCTTCTAGGACCTTCTAAGGTTCCTCATTATAGTTTCCTTGTATAGTTCCTTACAAATTATAGGGTACTAGGAGTTATGGTGATCGGAGGCCTCAAAAGGTGGGATGAAGGTAGGTGGGATATTCCCAAATAAGAGTCCTTATATAAGCGATCCTTAATTAATCCTACCTACCTTCATCCCACCTTTTGAGGCCTCCGAAGTGAGGTAGCGTGGCTTTTCTTGCTCAGGGGGGGCCTCAGGCTGCTCAGCCACACAAATTTCTTTCCAGATTTCCTGGCTACCGAAAGCCTTGCCGCAACCCTGAATAACCTACTTTGCTAGGGCTCCCTATTATGATTTCCCTTGCGCAAGTCCATAAAAAGGTCTATAGGTTAATCAGGGCTAAGGTACACTCTCTAAACCCGATGAATCCTAAACCTTGCACCGCTGCACGCCGAAGGAACTGAAATCCTGAATCTCCCAGGGACTGTAAGAGGATACCCCTTACTGTTTCGTCCGGCCTTTACATCAAGCGCTAAGCCACCTTTTTGTCTCTAGGCCGTGCAGTTCTTGCAGCCTTAGTGGTCCAAAATTATGTGCGCTTGCTCTCAACTGCTAAGATACCAACCAAAGAATTCTTGATTAGATGGGTACTAGCCGCCTAAGGCTGGGATTTGAAGCAACAGTATCCACACAGGTCCAAATACAAATATTTACAAACAGAAGGGTACAGTACCCAGAACCCAGAAGAGCGGGCGTCGCCAACGCCGTGGGTAGGGAAACTGCACCTCTGCATCCAGGATCTCGACCTTACAGTCGAGTCGGTTTCGGGTTTTGGAAGTTTTGGGTCTATGGAACCCTAAACCCTAGGTTCTTGAAAATTTCCTAGAAGCCCGGCTTAGGGGTGAGAGCTTTAGGTTTAGGGTTCTTGCCTCCTAGAGTTTAGGATCTAGGGCTGATTTCATGAGCAGGTCACTGTTACAGGAGCCATTGTACTGCAAGCCTCTTTTGTGTAAGCAGCTGGGCTTCGACAAAAACTCTGATGTCTGTGGCAACACCGGCGGCCGGTCCCTAAACCCTACTTGGAGGTTCATGGGCAGTTATTCGCGGGGGTGATAAGTCCGCCAATGTGGGTTATAAGTACAGTTACCCTACGTATAATATTATAACCATACTTCTATCTACAGTCCCGTAAGACAGTCTGCCTGAAGCTGCAACCCCTCGTTTCGGGCTCGGGGTCTGCACAAAGAACCTTGTGCTTGATCGATGAAATAAAATCCGAAACCCGAAACCTGCATACCAGGACCCCGGGAAAAATAACATCCGAAACCCGAAGCCTGCATAATAGGACCCCAAAAAAACCGAAATCCGAAACCTGTATACTAGGACCCCTAATCACCTAGGAATCAACAGGGCTGCCTGTGGTATAGTGGAATGTTCTATCGGGAGCCTAAGACCAGAAAAAGTGAGAAAGGGCCCTACTATAGTAATCTTAGAGTAAAACTTATAGTAACCTGTATAGTAACTGTTCCAGGAGCCTTTGAAGGAACTCTCAAAAGAACCCTTGAAGGGAACCCTCTGAGGAGGCTTCACAGTTTTGAAGAGCCCAGGGGCCGATCGTTGAACGCGAGAGCAGTTTAGGGTTTAGCGCTTGAGGCCTTGTGTTTCAGGGGACCCTACTTTAGTACCCTAAATAGTAGGATCCTCATAATAAGGACCCCAAGATACGATACCCCCTAATTTTCGGAAACTCCCATTCGGCTAGGATGCCCAGTAACCTAGGAATAAAAAGGGCTCCCTTTTTGGTATTGGGTAACTTTATAAGGACACTAGGACTACAAAAAGGGAATAAGGGTACTACTGGGCATCTTAGGTTTGGGGGTTGGACATCACTCAGGAGCCAACCAACGCCCCGACCGCGATGTTGTCGGCACCTCCCTCGCCGAGAAGCTTCTTGCACCTGATATCCTAAGGGGTCCTCGAGGGCTTAGGGATTCGAAGTATCTACATGGATGAGACTTGCCCAAACCAAAATGGTAGGTTCCCAGTATAGAAACCCTAGTCTCCACGATGCAAGTACTTGGGGCCCTTTGGATATTCAGGCTCTTCTTACAACCCTCAACACCCCAGTCCTAAGCTATTCCTCGACCACTTGAAATCCTTGAATCTGTCGCTGGGAACAACAGCCATACGTCGCTTTGCCCCAATGCTAGGAACCTTATTGAGCAACCCAGGGTTCGAAGATCCATGTGGGTGGTTGTCAAAATTAGGGTACCTTTTTGGGCCCCATTTTAATACAGGGCCTAATATTTAGGGTACCCAAAAAAGGACCATAATTTTGCCAACTACCCATGTATTGAAATAGAACTCATATTCAAATTCCAGTTGCTCAGCTAAGTTACGCAACCCTTGGCTCCACCATCGGAGTTTCATAGTAGCACCCATATGAAGAACCCTAACTTGTCACAATCCGGAAATCTCTCTCTGGAGAAGAGACAAGGTTGCTACAAAACTACAGGAGCATTTTCCCGGATACCCCCGAAGCCCTACATAAGCCATAACTTTTCGGCCTTCGAAGCTTTCGTGACCCTGAGATCTAAACCCAAGCAACCTCACGTCTATGCCGTCAGAAGCCCTCAAAATGGGAGAGCTCCATCCCCTGTGAACTTGAGAATGATCCTAGTTCGGATCCCAATTTCATTCATGGTCCATAGTTAAATTAAAGGGTGGCTTAGTATCCGTAATGATTCTGGATAGGGTTTGGAGGCCTCTTGTACCATAGTTTCTTAGGGAAGTCGGAGTGAAGTGCTACTGTACGGGGCTCTCTGGGTACCTACCAAGGCACACAGGAATCTCAGGAGTGCCCGCCGCTCGCCGCCGGAGCTGAGCGACCTTCTCAAGGCGTCTTCGTCTTGCCAAAAGAGGCCGTTAATGTAATGTGAGCGCTAAGGACCCTAAGACCGGTTTAGGGTGTAGGGTTGGGGGCCCTAAACCCTAAACCCTAAAGGCCCTAAAGAGTCATTTGGCAGCTGTTCAGGTTTCTATCTTCGGGAAGGTAATGATGACCGGAACCGTGTTTCTACCGGCTCCAAGTGTCCACTGATGCAATAACTCCGAGGCCAAGCCCAAGTCAACATGTTCACGTAAGCTCAAGGATCTACACGCGGTGGAAGTGGAACTGACAAGATGCGCATTGTTTGACTACCACGACATTGGTCTATTTGTCACGAACTGCTTCCAAATTGATCTACACTGTCGCCGCTATCGAGCTCGTCGTTCTGCGACAACTCCAGGGCGCAGTCAGTTCATTTCAACATGAAAAGGCTGAAACCACAACCCTGCCACAGACAGAGTGCGAAAGCATCTGAGATTGCTTGTCCCAATCACACAGGGGCTGCAAGCACCTTGGGTTTAGGGTTAAGGGTTTACGGGGGGGCGTATGACGAAACTATTGCAATCTGGGCAACATTCGTTCACTAAGTGAGTGCCCGAGTACTTGGCTCTCTCCCGCTGGCGGAATCTTAAGCTTTGTTGGTCTCCGATTCCTTTACTCCGCGCTGACGATGACGCTGCCCTCCGCACCCATCTAGAATCTAGACCCAAAGCCCTAAACTTAAACTCTAAACAGGGTGCGAGGGATCAGCAGTCCGTGGCTTGGGGCCTATCATAACGTTTCGGAGCTCAGAGTTTAGGATTGAAGGTTTTGTGGTTTGGGGTTTCCGCTTTGATACTTCCAGTTTACGGTTAAGGGGTGTGGACCCCAAACCCACGACGCAACTCGAAAGTAAAGGCGTCAAGCCTCGAAGCTTTGGCCTGTTGTAACCGGCTCAACGGAGACATACCTTACGCGCGTGCTCATGATACTTTCCCCATCGTGCTACACTATAGCACGCGAAAAAGTAGATAACTCTAATATAGGGGCCCTAAAAAGGGCCTTAATAATTAGAATAGGGTTTGGAATTATATGTTATACTATAACTATACATATGATAAGGAACCCCCCGAAATGGCATAGGTAAGTATAAAGGCCGAGTATCCAGCCGAGGCTGGCTCAGGCTTGGTTTGTTTAAGGCGGCCTCGAGGGGCGGTGGTGGTGGCGGTGGTGGTGGTGGTGTCGGTGCTTGATTCCGGGACTTGAAAGAACTGAAACCTTCACCGAAGGCTTATAGGGCTTCCCAAACATGGCAATGCGGCCTCTGCCTCCTTCTTTCGCAAAGCTGCACATGCAGCATCTGCCTCCTACCAGGCTCGCGAACTACCGACAGCGACGGGTTCAGGATGTACAGAGCTTAGCTTTGCTTAGCAACTGTGTCAAGCACCCGCAAATCAACCCGCAGCATCGAGGTACATTATGTACTTGTTCTAATCCAACAGTTGACTATCAAAGGAGCCTTATATTACGGCTACCGGGGGTTTTTGCTCTTATAGTTATACAGTTAAAACAACGGCGAAACCTAGAATCTACGTGTTCTGAATTGAAGCGCACGCTGCAGCTCTTTGTTTACATCTTGCATTCTTCTTCTACTCCTGGTAAGACACGTCTAATCAACACCATCACCACCTTTCCACTACACCATATTCGGAGGAAGTAAAGGGGCCTTCCTGCTATAGACCCCGAAAGTAGTGATGTTCGTAGTATAAAAACACCAGGTACCCGTGAAGTAAACCCTACAACATAGCCTTAACAATAAAACTCCTTAGGTCGAAAAAAAACCACCCCAGAGCCAGATACCTCCACGACTAGTAGCCATGCGCCCCTTTAGTCTGTACAATGTCACAAGCGCACCTAACCCTAAACCCTAAACTACAGAATTCCGAAAGCCCCGACATCCTGAACAAAGCCTCAAGCCCTCAACTTCCTCGCAACACGACGAGCCCGAGACAAGGCAAAAGGCGCCTGGAGAGCCTTGGCAAGTTCCTGCAAGCGGAAAGGGTCTTAGGGTTTAGTGATTTAAGGTTTTCAGATAGATTGCTCTGGGCTCTGCTTGGAGGTTCATGGGTAGTTAGCAGTGGAGGTATAAGTCCCCTAAGATGAGTTCGATGTAGACTTACCCTACTTATAACCCTACTTATAACTACCCATGAAAGGACCTCCAAGTGTCTTGTGGCTTTACTATGGGTCCCTGGTTGGGTCCGTCCCAGCCACTCCTCTTTAAGGGCCACAAGCTCGCCGTCGGATGCATCCGCGCTGTAACCTCTCAGGGCTGGTGGTTGAAGGTCCGGTTGATGGACTGTCAGTGTTTTGGCATTATAAACCCAATGTCTACAAGAGAGAGGGAGAGGGAGAGAGAGAGAGAGAGAGAGAGAGAGCGAGAGAGAGAGAGAGAGACAAAGAGAGAGAGAGAGAGGGGGAGGGGGAGAGATGTAAATATGTGATAAACTATATGCATAGTATACACACAACAGGGGCATCAGCGTTCCTCCGAATCTAATACACTGAGATGTCACCTCACACTGACAATGTGGTTGTCACGAATCAGGAAGCGAACCAAGCAAACCTTGCGAACGATGGCCTTTGATGCGATGATACAGCAGCATCACTCCTGGTCCCCAGAGAGCCCAATACCCCTTAATTAAGGAATATAGCTTAAATCATAGTATTATGAAGCCCCTAATAATCTATTATAAGGTGTATATTCCTCAATTAAGGAATATAGCTTCAATCATAATATGAAGCCCCAAAGGAGCTAGCATCCTTAATACAGGGGTATTGGGCTCTCCTGGTCTCAGAAAATTGAACTCAAGATCTCCTACACCGAATTGAAGTCCACAGCGGGTTCGGTTTAGGGTTTTGGGTTCCTTGCTCGCATCGAAAGATATCGAAAGATGTTCACAGATCTGGCTCTCAGCTGCAAAACCAAATACAGAAATCCAGAAGGAGCTCCGAGCTAATATAGAAGCCTGAATAATTAGTGATGCTTCCCTAAGGGCTCCTGGCCATAAATATGGTATAGTATGCTATGCCCCATGCAAACCTTTTTGTAATCATCAACTCCCCACCCCCGTACTACTAGTAACCAACCTTTTGAAGCCTTATGAAGGAACCCTTGAAAGGAACCTTCTTCTAAAGGCCAATCATTGAAGCTCCTATATTTTCGTACTGAAGGATAAGCCGGTTACAATCCTCCAACTAACTATTCGTATTGAAGGTTACCTGAACCCGAAACTCACACGAACAAAACTAAATCGTAGACCGCTAAACTCCTCAAACCCACCTCCTCCAGACTGGCTGAAAGCTCCGGGCACCTTGGAAAGGTCTGTGGAATCGGGGTTTTGCCAGTTACTTCAAGGGTTGACATATGTGTGACCCTGCGGCCTCTAAAAGGGTTGCTGCATACAGCCGTCCCTGCAAGGGGCATGGCGACTCTATGGGTTCTATAAGAGTTCATGTACCCGAAGGGTCCTTTGTACTGTTATGGGGGATACTTCCCTAAGTCATAATAGTAATGCCTAATATGGAAACCCTACATTCCACTATATCGGTACATTGGACCCTTTGGGGTGACGATTTCTGTGAGGGTTGCTGCTGCAGGGTTTGACAGGGCTTTGGCTTCTGGATTTGCTGGGTTGGGGATAAGGCGGATAAGGCTTACCCTAAGGCCCCAAAGTAGTTCCGTTTTGGGGTTCATATATAGAATCCTATAAGGTAATCACAAAAAGAAACTACTTTGGGGCCTACGGGTAGGGACAGGTTTTTACTGTTCTGAAACTTCACATGCACCCGGGCTTGGGCTCGATCATGCACCTTCAGCCAGAACCCTTACCCCCTGCCGTTTTGCTCCAGGCTTCGTGTACCTAAACTGGTACACCCTAAGCCTTAAGCCAAAACAGAGCCTCCTAAATGTACGGTAAACTAGAAAAGCCATGAACCCCAAACTCCGTATACCTGAAACCCCTCATCGGCACCGCAGTTGACAGGGAAGCTGCCTCGAGGCCATGCAAGCGACAAAGCTGCTTCGCCAACTTCACCTGTGCAAGCTCCGAGGATCTCTTTCGGGTGTTAGGGTTTAAAGGTTAGGATTTAGGGGTCTAGGGGTTTGAGGTTTTAGGGGATTGAGGTTTAGGGGTTTAGGGCTTTTAGTGGTTTAGGGTTTAAGGGTTTGGGGGTTTAGGGGTTTAGAGTTTAAACTCAGTTGCTCTAACCCGCCACTCCATCCAAATGAAGGCACACTTTGGAGTTTAGGGTTGGGACGCCTGTGGCTTAGAGCTTATGATAGGGTTTAGCAATGTAGCATTTATGCCTTTAAGGCTCCATGCCACGGAGGGTTTACCGAGCATTTAAAATGTACCAACCGTTTTTGCATCAGGACTTGTGCAATCGCCTCAATGTTTGAGCAACACAGAGGTTCAGACATCAGGACTGATATCTCTCATGCCTTGCTCAAAACACGCGAAGGGACAATCTGGAAAACACAAACTCGACCCATAGCCAGTTGCGAAAAATGCACATCACGAAAGGAAGTCAAGTAACCATCAGCTGCTTGACTGGACACCAAGAGCTGGCAGGACAGTTGATCCCCCATCATAGCCAAATCACACAGACATGACTCTAGACACTCCTGGGCATAACACCGCCTCAGCATGCAAGAAATCGCCTTAGAATTGCTGATGCCCAAGGGACCACAACAGCGTACGACATCGGCGATTCTAAGCCAAAGAATCTCATGCTTCAGAGGTCGATCCCAAGACGACCACGACGTGGGATAGTTGCAGGTGTGCGGCAGCAACTCCAGGTCAACATGTTTTGACCTACAGCTTTCCGAGTCCAACGATCCTCTGCCTTCTGCCCCAACATGGCTTCAATCTCTGGCAGTCGGTCAGGCTCAGCAGGAAAGGGCATGTTGTAAAAAAGTGCAAACTGCTTAAACAAGCCACTGCAGGGGTGTTCTCCCAGACCCTGCACGACGGCCACGAAAATCACGAATGCCACCGAGCAACGAAGCCCGTGCAAGGTGATCGAAGGGTCGTCGCAACAAGTGTCCCAAGTAACCCCATTTGCGTACTAGCCACTGATGTGCGCAGGACCTAAGCCCTACCAGGAGGCTCCATAGTGGTTCCTGTGTGTGGTTCACATTGAGAATCCTAAAGCCTATAAGGTCATCCCAAACAGTAACTATTATTATGGAGCCTATGGGTAAACCCTAAGCCCAGTTTTACAGCACTTAATATGGGTTATATGTAAGGCTCCTGGCGGGTTCTATAGGGTTAGGGTTTAGGGGAGTTACAAGTGGGGTTACAAGTCCCGTAACGGCCGATAACCCCTCAAAAAACCCACCCAACAAACCCACCCTTTGCAACAGGCTTCGTACTTCGCCTGGAGTCGGTCGCCTCTGAAACCCAGCACAACCCACCCTGAACCCTAAACCCATGAACCCTTAAAAACACCTAACCACATAAGCCCTGAACTAAACCCTACTTGGAGGGGCAGGGTAGTAAGTATGGTTATAAGTAGAGTTATAAGTACCCGAAATGGAGTTACCTCACTTATAACCCTACTTACCAAGTCCCCTGCCCCTCCAAGTGGGAATTCCCGAAAATTAGGGGTACTGTATTTGGGGGTATTATAATAAGGATCCTACTATTTAGGGTACTATATTTGGGTCCCCTAATTGTCGGAAACTCCCAAGTAAGAAAGCCGCCCAGGGCGTCGTTTAGCGCCTCCGGGTCTCTCAGTGGCTTCGGCAGTTTCGACGCCTCGGGAGCTCTTGGGCTTGGGGTTTGGGGCTTAGAATCAGAAAAAGGGGGTCTTACGAATTAGAATAGGGTTCCTTTTAAAGGGTGTATGATGGGGGTGTGTTTAGTATAGGGGCCTCAATGGTTAGAATAGGGTTTTTGGGTCTATTGTATGATAACCATAAGGAGGACCCGCCCACAATAGTATTGGTAATTACTTAGGCCAGTGTGCTATAAGGCTTTTAGAGCTAGTTTGTGGGGCCTAGGGCTTAACGTATAGCGTTTATAGGGCTTGTAGGGTTTATATGGCTTAAAGCTTATGGGCTTGACAGGGTTTATAGGGCTTACTGTCGAGCCTTTAGGGGCCTCTGTTTTTTAATCTCCATTTCTATGAAGCCTGCAGGTCTGGGGCTCGAGTTTTGGGACTTTTCAGCGCTCGCTCACAACAGAGACAAGCTTTTTCGGGTGGGGCTTGGGGCTTTTTCCGAGTTCTGGGTTCAGGGTTGTTAGGGGTTAGAGTGCTCAACAGTTTGACGCTCGCACTCGGACAAAGCCAGGCTTCGGGGCTTCGGCGCTCACGCTCGGACGGACCAGGCGAGGCATGTGGCTCGAGGTCTGCACTGGAGTGAAACCATTCCGATGGGTTTGTGGGTCGCGAAACCCAATTCTCCGTAAGCATACAACCTAGAACAACAAGAAACCAAACTCCCACTGAGTTCTTCCATCAGGCAGGTACCTAGTTGAAGATCTCAGCCACTACGCCAAAGCCGATCACAAACATCGGGTCAAGGCGTACAGGGGTTTGGACTCGCACTAGGACACAGGAATCACCGCTTAGGGGATGGAGGAGGCTACTGTCGCTACTCTGCACACTCGAAACTTGACTTATTCTCCATGCGGCGATGCGACAGCAACTGAATTTTATCAGGTTGCTGCTTTTGTTCTTCAGAAGGAGCTATAAGCCTCTGAAACAAGCGGTTGAGGTCTGCAGCAAACTCGCGATTTCGACATGGTCCTTGTTAATGGCCGTTATCAAAGCTGTGCGGCCGGAGTTGTCTATCACATCCGGGTTGGCACCGGCTTGCAGCAGCAAGTGCAAGATCTCGAATCCGCCTGCGAAGGACGCCATCATCACCGCTTTTATCGGTCAGGTCCTTATCGGCATCGGCTTCTAGGAGTAGGCTCACTACTTCGGCGTGGCGTCTGGAAGATGCAAACATTAAAGCTGTGCAGCCGTTGCCGTCTGCCAAATCCTTATCCGCACCGGACTCAAGCAGCCAGCAGACGACCTCCACATAACCTCTGCTAGATGCGAGCATCAAGGCATCGCTGCGGACCTCTTTCTCGGGGCCGGCTTCGAGCAGCACGCGAACGATTTCGACTTGACCTGCGCCAGATGCTATCATCAAAGCTGTGCGGCCGTCGTAGCCTGCCAGCTCTGGATCGGCATCGGCTGCAGCTTCCAGCAGCAAGCTGATGATGTCGACATCATTTGCCTCAAGTGCTAAACTGAAAGCTCTGCGGCCAGTGGACGCATTCGGATCTTAGGGTTTAGGGTTTAGGGGTTTAGGGTTTAGGGTTTAAGGTTTAGGGTTTAGGGTTTAGGGTTGCAGAAAGGACTCCACCCAGGACAGCGAGGCAAGATCTTCCTGGGAGACGTCGAGCTTCGGAGGATCTGCGAAAGTCCTTAGTTCATGGTTGGGATAGGATCAACACTTTAATTTCTTATCCTTATTAGGTTTAAGTACCCATAAAAATGTAAAATGTTACCCAACTATGACAAAGGTCAATAGAAGCAGATCCAAGTCCATTGGAGACTCCAGCTTGACAGAATCCTCCAAAGTCTCGCCATGAAGAAGGACCCTCTGCCTGAATCGGGAGAGTCCACGCAGCTGATGAAGGTACCGCTTCAAGCTTCTCACGTCTTCTATCTCCTCGACAGGTATGCCCACTTCTTCGCCGGCCAGGGAACTCAAACTTGCAGCCGATCCGAACCTTGATCCACTCGTGTAGCAGTCGTAGCAGTTTTTCGTCATCCACGTAGTAGCAGTAGTAGTAGTAGTAGTAGTAGTAGTAGTAGTAGTAGTAGTAGTAGTAGTAGTAGTAGTAGTAGTAGTAGTAGTGGTTGTAGTAACAGTAGCGCGACAGCAGCAGCAGGAGGAGGAGCCGGAGGAGCAGCATAGGGAGAGGGAGCAGCCTCGGCCTATAGCAGCTTCAAGCAATGCATATGCCAAGTGGTTTCAAACCTCGCAGGTTACAGCCATAAAACTATATACAACCCTGGAAAGCCCTACCGATTCCACGCTTGGGACAACACCCAGCTCGGCTCGGCCGGCGCAGCCAAGAGCAGTTGGTGCCAGGAGTTTGGCCACGGCCTGCAGACGCCAACGGGCACGTTGCTTCATCTGCATTGAACCAAACGAACACACAAATTCTTTTTTTGTCATGAAGGAATAGTATAGTAGATATAGTTCACCCAGAGACTGATTAGCATGTTATGGTGTAGTCGTCCAAGGGACCGTGAGGTTTTAAAAATCTCTCCCCGTGGTCGGCCCAGCACGCAGGATTCCAAGCTGAGTCTCATGCGTAAAGTCCACCCAGCGCCCATCTGGCAGCACGTTCCTGCTCGAGCTACAGGCTTCTGTTATTCTAGCTTCTCGTGTGAAGGCTGGAAAGGGTCATGGACACTCGGGGGTGAGGGTGAGGTTTCACAGCCTACTTGCCGTTGCACTCCGACTACTCGGGGGTGAGGTTTCACAGCCTACTTGACGTTGCACTCCGACTACCGACTACCTACCCATCATTTCCCAGACCCCTGGGAGGATCTAGAAAGTAGATCCCCTAATTTGGGGGCCTATACTACTAAGGGTACTTTATAGGAACCCCCATGAAGGGATCTACGTTTTTGGATCCTCCCGGAATTCCGGGTTCCGGGTAAACTCACAAGCCTTGGGCGGTGCAAACAACCGGAGTTTGCCGGACCCTCGCCCTCCCCACGGAATCGTCCGAAGCTCCATGAAGTGATGCCCAGGACTCATGCCGAATGGTGAACATCCTTTGTAGACTCTCTCTAACGTGTGTCTCGCTCGCTCTCGCTCTCGCTCTCGCTCTCGCTCTCGCTCTCGCTCTCGCTCTCTCTCTCTCTCTCTCTCCCTCTCTCTCTCTCTCTCTGTCTCAGTCTCTGTCTCTCTCTCTCTCTCTCTCTCTCTCTCTCTCTCTCTCTCTGTCTCTCTCTGGCATTTTGTACATCACCAAGGCCCCAAACAATTAAAGCCCTGGGATGCCCACCAGGCCCAGCGCGCAGCCACGAAGGCAGTTCCAGGATCCTCCGAACCCAAAAAACCACAGTGGTGGGTTTAGGGTTTAGGGTTTGAGGTTTTGGGTTTAGGGTTGCGAGTTTGGGTCTGTAGGGTTTAGGGCTTAACCTGGCGATGTTGTTTCTTAGGGCTTTTGGGGCTTTTCGCTGTAGGGCTTCACTTACCTATTGCGTTAGAAAGCGGTGTCAAAGTGAACCCCCACAAATTTGGATCCTATAGGGTTTGCATAACCAGCCCTAAGAACAAGGAAGCATTCACGGGCTGCATAATGGACCCCACAAATGTTTAGGTCTTGAAAGTCTGGCTTCAGGAGTTGTGGGCCCTTTGGAGCGGCTCGACCCGGGAACTAAAACGCCCAAAGCAACAAGAGATTAAGGGGGCTGGGTTAGGGTTCAGGGTTCAGGGTTTAGGGTTTAGGGTTTAGGGTTCAGGGTTTGAGGCTTAGGGCTTGCGTTTAGAAGTAATGACTGGGATCACGAAAGCCCCCTCTTCTGCAAGGGCCCGTGATATCGGTGATTAGGATCCCCATTGCCCGATTATCGTCATATGAAAGCTCGTAAGTTTATTAGCAAGGCATCAACAATAGTAACAACAGTTATGAAAACAAATTTAAGTTGTAGGTGTAGTTGCCAGAAGTACCCTAGCTATAAGGTCCCCTGATCTTTGAAGCCTGGTTTATTTAGGGTTTTCGGGCTGGGTGGTTTCATAAGGACCCTCTGGGGGGGTATAGGGGGCCTTAATCCCTATCATAAGGAAGTATAGTCCCCTGCCCCCTACCCCTACCCTCCCCCCCATCCCCGAGGGTCCCTATGATGAATTCTTGGGTTTTTAGAGAGCTGGGGGCCTCCCGACCCAGAGAGCCCAATGTCCCGTGAATACGGAATATGGCTTAAATCATAATATGAAGCCCCTAATAATTTAAGGTATATTCCTTAACTAAGGGGTATTGGGCTCTCTGGGGATATCCTGCTTGCCAAGCTCGGAGCCCTGGCTCTTAGCACGGTTTAGGGCTTAAGGAAGGAACCTGATTAAGAATCTTTGGGCCTTTGTTCGGGCTCCTTACATGAATCCTACCATTTTTTTGGGGGGGGGGGTATAGGCCCAGGGTTTCTTAATCAAGTTCCTACATTAGGGTTGGGGGGATAGTCGCAGCTGTGCCGAAGTGCCGAAGCAGATGATAAAGCACGAAAAGAGTCATTAACGGAACACTAATTAACCACCAACCTTAAAAACCATATTCATATTAAGACTGATGTTCATATTAATTTCCAAACTCACCGACGTTCATGTTCATGGCGTATAAAGGATTGAAGCCAATTTTCTCTTTTCTTTGAAATATCTAAGACAGCCCACGGGCCCCTAGGACGGACCTGTATTAGACTGGGGCGTCTGGCTCAGCAGCTCCCTTCGCCCACAAAAAAGCACCCTCAAAAGACCTCAAGACATCACCTGGGCTGAGTGCCCCAGTTTAGGGGTGTAGGCGGTTTAGGCCTCTGGGTTTAGGGTTTAAAGGCCTATGGTACTGTTATAGGAACCCTTAATATGATAAGGCTATTCTTATGGGCTTTATACCCCCGCCCAAAACATGTTAAACCCTAAACACTAATTGATTATGGTAGGGTTATATAACACCCAAAAAATGAAGTCTACCTAATTAGCTACTACAGTAAGACATGACAAGCAGGTTGGGAGTTTGCGGGAGGTATATTGCAACACGTCCACATATTCCTGAGAGAGCCGATCGCCTCTCTATTAAGGAATCTACCTCAAATTGTAGAGGATTCCATAGTATACTAGGGCTTATAAGCTATATTCCTGAAATGAGAAGTATTGGGCTCTCTAGGTAAATGGGAGTATGTGGACCAGAGTTTTCTCCCTCTTCGCATGGCTGGGATTCCCTAAACCCTTTGTGCATCGGGGCTGTGAAGTTCTGGCCGAAAATGGGCAGCAAACCCTTGAACCTAGCAAACCCGGCAACCGAAACTCAGGTGTAGGGTTTATGAAACACCAAAACCGTGAAACCCGAAGCCCTGTTGAGGGGCTTGGAGCCTTGTCGTGACGCTCAAGAATAGCGAGGCCTTCGAACACCTGGCCAAGACTTCGGCAGTTTTTCGGGTTCAGGTTTTAGAGCTATGAGGTTCAGGGCTTAAGGGTTTAAGCTTCAAGGTTTAGTTCTTGATTTAAGGGTTTAGAGTTTAAATGTTCAGAACCCTCAACGGTTTCAGGGTGTAGAGACCAAGTGATCAGAGCTTCAGGATCTCGGAGTTCAATTCTTCGGGGTGGTGAAGGGTTTTGAGCTTCTTTTTTCGCAGGCAAAGAATCCTGAAACCCTACACCCCTACATTGTTAAACCCTTCCAGCCCTATGGACCCTTCAATCCCCAAGCCCTAGAACCCCAACCTAACTCCCTAAATCCTGAACAGTTAGGGTTTAGGGGAAACCCGAAGCTCACAGCAAACATGCACGTATCAACTCGAACCCCCAAAACGGGGGCCTCATAGGGATTGCAAGGAAATGCTGTCTACGAATTTTTTCCAATCCCTACAAACCCAAAGTCTCTAAGTGCTTGAAAAACTTCTCGAACCCTGAGCCATTGACGACCCTAAACCCTAAACCCTAAACCCTAACCCACAGACCTCCGAAGGAACCCGGAAGCGTTAAACCCTCTGAGTCAACACCCCAAACTGCGAACCGCTGAAGCATCCCATCAAGGAACTCTTACATACTTACAGAACCCTTACAGGAACCCCTACACTCTAGGGTCCAAAGGACCCAATAATTAGGTACTCGGGTTTAGGGTAGCGATTATGTAGGTTTCAATTTTAAATTTTGGAGAGTATGTGAGAATCATGTACTTGGACCCATAGGGCTATAGTACCCATAGGCTCCATATAGCTCCTTTTCGGGGTTCATATTCAGAATCCTATAAGGTAATCCCAAAAAAGGAACTACTATTCAGCCTAGTTATTCAGCCTCTGGGTAGAGCCAAAAACACTCAGTCGTTGCCTCGAGACCACGCTCGGCGCTTACTCTCCGCGCGTTGGCGTGGCTCTGCCAGGGTGCCAAGGGCACCTGCGGCTGGGAGAAAGGATTTGGGCTTTTGTTTTGCGGAGCTTTTTCCGGGGGTTTTGGGTTTAGAATTCTAGTTTCAGGAGCTGAAGGGTTTAGGGTTACTATGAGAGCTACTATAATAGGGTTGCTTTGTTTGGATTTAACTAGCTTGTAGGGTTCGGAGCCTTGCTTTGCGTCGAGTTTCGGGTTGAGACGTCACGATTCAGGGCGTCGGGCCGCAACGATACATGTTAGCCCTGTAGTTACACTGCTTTGAACTCAACAGATGTAGTACTGCCACCCCTTTCCCCCTTAGACTCCTGCACAAGACCCCCAAGGCTCTCCGCCGAGAACATTTTAGTAGTATGATTTTATTCCAGGCAATTCACTACTCCGCCAGGCTGGCCACGTAAAACGGACTTCCGGCCTCACCGCATCTCCGCGGCACATGAACATGGTACTTTGAGACAATCCTCCGTATGTCGAAACTTTTTGTCGTTGTAATGCAGTATTTTTTTGGGGGGGTTCATATTTAGAACCCTACAAGGTAATCCGCCAAAGCACCTACTATGGAGCCTCTGGGCACCTCCAAATCGATCCCTAGGACCCAAAAGGTGCGGAAACACATGTCGATGTAGGGCTGAAGATTTGAGCTTACTTGGAGGTTCATGGGTAGTTATAAGGGGCCCTCTGAGGGTCCCTTTAAAGATAGGGCTTACTTGGAGGTACATGTGTAGTAAAAAGTAGGGTTGTAAGTCCCCTAATATGGGTTACAAGTATTATAGAGAACCCTACTTAGAACGCTACTTATAACTACCCATGAACCTCCAAGTAGGCCCTAAACCCTATACCCTTATAGAATCCCTAAAGAGCCCTTTAAAAAGGAACCCTTAAAGGAACCCTTATAACTACCCATGAACCTCCGACTAGGGCTTCGGGCCAGGATTTAAGGCCTACGACTTCGGCTCCGTGCTCCGAATCAAGAAGTCAGGTTGTAAGGTGCCTGATGACCGCCTACAACTACTAAAAGGGCCTTATAATAATTACCTGAACTAGTTCGGTGGTTCCTTGTTCGAAGAATTAGTATAACGGGCACCAAAACCCTTTTCTAATTATTCAGGGCCGTATACTTGTATTACTCAGCATGAGCCACGATGCTTCTGGAAAGAACCCCGATGCCTTGAGACACAGGCTAGAGTGCCTAGAGTCTGCGCATGCAACAGCCAACCGCACAGCGTTC